ACTGCCCAAACACCAACCAGGTTCAATCATCACATTCAGAAAAGCATCTTTCCAATTGTAAGAGCAATCTCCAAAAGCAGACAGATCCATTATAAAAGAGAGAAGAAAGGTTCAGTGAAGAGCAGTGTAACCTCTAGAAATGCTCAGAGAGAAATGGATTTGAACTGAATTAAGGTCAGCAGAAGGGGCAAGAAAAGGACTGCAGCCTCATCCAAAAAGCATTCAGATATTTGAAGGATTAAGATAAATATCTCCAGAGACACTAAGAGACATAAAATACATATTAAGAAAAATACGTTCAATGAATTACACTGCAAATCATTATGAATATTCAATTTCAATCAAACTGAAATGAAAGAGACTACTCAGGGACTCTGGATTTGAATCTTAAAAGACAATTAAAAGGAAAGAAAATGAACTAAAATGAGAGACAATAAATTTCATCTTATAAATAATGCAGAGAATATTAAGTCAGCTTTTCCTCTATGATATGGAAAAAATAAGACAAGAGGATTTTAAGTATCATAGTAAGCTTAAAATATGCTCCCTCAAGTTTTTGGTGTTTATTCTGGGAACAGAGAGCTGTCTGTTCACCTCGAGCTGTTCAGGATCATTTACAAGAGAACTAGATATGCTCAAATGGAAGGAATGATAGCAGGAAAAGACAGAGTAATGTGCTTCAATCTGTGGCACATTTTTTAGTGTGCTAGCATTGAATAAACACTGAAAAGAGGAATAAGGTGTATCAGTACTTAGGGCAGAGACAAATCTGTTCAGATCAGTGGGAACAAGACAGCTGAATATCATAACAACGCTATTGCAGCATAGTAGTATTAAGTTAAAAACCTCCAAACTCAAAATCACTAGGAATGTTTTGAAAGTTTTAACTGGAATTATTAAAAACATGGATATTTTCCTAATCAGTTCATTGCATTTGTTAAAATAGTTTTGCAGAATTCTAACCCATTTTCATGTACATTGGATATATGAAATACATATTCTAGACAGTAAAATGTGGATGTTTGATTTTGCTTTCTTTAGCAGGCTGATAATTTTGATTAAGTTTGTGAAGCATCTAACTGAAGGATTATTCTGCCTGATAAGCAAATATTTCTTGTGTTTTCTTCTCTTCTTTGATTTCTCAGATCTGCAATCTTAAAGGCATCTTTCAGGGAGAAGAAGAGACTCAGGACCATAAAGGGTAAGAAATATTATTTCATTACATGCAAATATTGGGTCTTTTTCTTAATTTCTGGTCATTCCAGATTTTGGATATTCATAAAGAGATGTAGTTCTTTGTGAAGATCTGTTTAGTGATAACAGCACAAAAATGGCAAAATAATCTCTGCTCAGCTTTTTAATAAAGCTACAAGCAAACAATGTGGTTTTATCTGTCAATCTCCCCCACCACAGACACACACACAAAATTAAAAAACGAAAACTTGAAAATGTAGCCTACATTTATCTAAATTATATCAAATACTTATAAATGATATCAAATTCTGGAAAAATAAATTATAGCAAATTCTGGAAAAATTGCTGGCAAGTCTATGGAAATACACTTTTAGATTTACAATTAAGATACTGGAAAATGTTTGGTGCTGCGTTTCTGGATATTAAAAAAAAAATCTATGTACAGAAATGAAATTAAAAAACTAGTTATTTTGCCACAAAAAGGAGCCAAACAGATCCCTGAAAACTACTTTAGATACTATTTTCAAGCTAATCAGTGTCATTTGCATATCAGAGTTTATTTAGTTTATGTGTTTAAAACTAAGAGACTACACTGACACCTTTAACAATAGAAAACAAATCCTGCAAAAGGATTTTCCTATGTTATTTTACTTTGGATCAGGGCAGTGTGTGCCCCTCTCTTGTAGGTACTGGAAGATAATGTTACTGTGGACAGATTCCATACCCCCATGTCACATCAACACACACACACACACACACACACACACACAAAGAGAGAGATATTTTAATTTGTAGCTCACATCCACTGAAATATTCAAGAGAAGATGCCTTCTAATCAGGATTGTGTAAGGGATACAAATCTAACTTTTTACCCACTGCTGACAATCACTAACTTCATGTCTTTGTCCATAAAACCCTTGCTTAAAACATTCCTACAAATACCAGTTTGCCATTACTTAAATACAGAGAGCAACAGAATAAATGTGCACATTCTGTCTTTGTCTTCATTAACCAAAACTTTTAACATACTTCAGTCTCTTTCACTGTGTTTAAATTCTTTTTAGCATAGTGGGCCTTTTCCCTGCCTGCCCCTGCTCCTCTTGCCTACAGTCTAAGAGTTTCTGATAGTCTCCTGAGCTTCTTGAGAAGAAAGCAAGGATGACACGTTGCAAGATTTGCAGTGTCTGTTGCAGGATGAAAGACACACAGTAGAAAAGAGGCACCGTGTAGAGCTGCCAGCAAGGCATTCAAAAATATCAGAATTTGCTTTTAATAGCAGATATTTTACAAGTATTGAATTGCAAGATGTTGTGGTAACTGTGATGGCTAGCACCACAGAATTAACTATGTATTAACACCTGACTTAATGTTGCTCAGTTAGAAGCATCTGGATTTTTTCCTTGCATCCTTGTAGTATGGGGAGTCTCATTTTTTTTCCCTTGAAACACATGCTATTTTTTTCCCATCCTTTATTAGTATTTATGTAGTGTTCTGTGACACTGAAGTAAACTGAGCAGAAGGCTTAAGTGACAATAAAATGTAGATTTTTGCTGCTGAATATAATGAAGATCTAAGGAAATACACAGATACTTTCCACAGTTTCTGTGTAGAAGAACATGGAAGAATATCAAAACATCTGGCTGCTTTAATCTGAGAGTGACTTAAAGCCCTGTTTGGGATTGGCACCTCACCTAATGATACCATCACATTCTAATATGTATTATATTTGTAGGAAGAAATGGTTCACATCTTTCAGCATCTTCAGCTATTCCTAAGAAGTTGATGGGCCATGTGGCTTTGGAAACACATGTAAGCACAGCCTCAGCTTGTACATCCAGTCCTGAGGGCACAGAAGGTCTGAGGAAACCCACCCTGAGTTCCTCTGGTGTATGCTGTGTAGCTTCTGGCGTGATGGCATCTCTGCTTGCCACTGCTCCTGTTTTGTTCTCATTAACTTGAACTCACTTTGCACTTCAAACATTTGACATCTGCTTCCCCCCTTCTTAACATTCTTTTTCCTTGAAAAATATTACAGAAGTCTCTCCATGTCTTTCTTAAATTATGATGCAATTGAAAAGAGAAATGGTTGTGATCTGGCTTTAGACAATGCAGGATCTCTTATAGGTCTAAACTAAATTTTCTTCCTTTACCTTGTCAAAGCCAATCAAGCAATGACCAAAACACATGCTTTTCTGGCTGAAGTGCATGTGCTTTACCTTTTGCTTCCATTTTACTTGTACTCCATTTAAACTTGATTTCTCATCAGCCTCTCAGAGTTTTTTATAGCTTGTGTTGTTACTGTAGTTGTGCAATATGAAACAAATGAAAAAAATTTCTATGCATAAAAAGATTCAAGAATAATGCAGTAAAATCATGACAAGAAACATTGTTCAAGGTAGTGAACGCACCAATGAGATTTTGAGTGTCTTACAAAATCTGGTGTTCTAACTTCCAAAAATTGCTGCATATTGTATATGCCTCATATATGACTCTAGGGTAGGTGGGAGACTAATACCTGGAAATGAATTACTTGTATGAACAGCTTCCAGGAAACTCATTAAATTGATTAACCAATGTAATATTTTTCTAATCTTGTTACTATGATCTTAATAATTTTAAATTTTGTGGGTTAAACTACAAAGTTCAAGCATTCAGTAGTTCAACTGATTCAAGGAATCCACCAAGATGCTTCTTGAAACTTTCTATGGGCTGACTTGGTCTGGGTTCTCTTCTTTATGGCTTTTACAGAAACCAGCTTTCTTGTGCTAGAGATCATGCAAAATAACATGAAGAATCTGCTGGACCTTCCTTTTCTTTCTAAGGCCTTGTATTTTCTGTGAGCAGTCTGTATCAGTCAGAAATGTCCCACAGACATTTCTGTAACAGGAAGAAAGGTAGATCGTGGCATAATTTCCTTTGTGCTATTCTATGAACTGTGCAAAGCTGACAGTTCCTTTTCAGTTTTAATTACAGACACAGTAATTACCTGCACTGTATGCATTAAATAAAATAGTCACAACTTTTAAATTAATTTTTAACATCTCACAACTCTATCAGAAAGGCTTGCATATATAATTATATCAAATAAAAACATGGAATACACTTGAATGAAATGCAATAATTTGACCAAAGACACAAAAAAGTCTATTGTTATGACTTGTATCTGCTAATACAAACAGGTCCACAATGACTCAGAGGCCATAATTAAGAGAAAGGCCGTGCATTAATTGAAGCAGGAAGATTATTGATATCCTTGGGAATCAGTCTTGTGCCTCTGTCAACCCTGGCTGACACTTAGATTAGAAGTTCTTAAGTTCTTGCTTCATGTTTGGTAGAGGTGTAATACTTAGCTTTGTTGAAATAGTTAATGTCGGAATACACTTTTTTTTTTTTTTTAAATAGTGGGTAAGTATGAACAGCTTTTCCAAGTCAGAACAGTGCTGTCCATAGCATTAAAATTTCATGAGTTATGAGTTCCCTTGGTTTTGTTTGAGTTGTGAAAAAGTAGTACCTTTTATTGCATTCCTCTGCTTAATTACTGATGGTTTCTCTGGGGAGTTCCAGTAACATTTACCTCATATTTCTAACATACTTTCATCACAAGGTCTTCTGCTTGCTTGCAGAGATGCAAGAACTACAAAACCATCACACCAGAGACTATAAGAGGAAAAAATCAATGGAAATCCAGTCTTTTAGGCTCTGCTGCTGTGATCATTAATCACCTTCCCTTACACTGTGAGAAAAAAAATAGTTCTCAATTTAATTTTAGTACTGAATGCTAAAGAGGCATTAAGAAATGCACTTACTTCTCTCTGTTGAATATGATGAATTCTTTCCTAACGGTTTCCAAGCACTGCTGCAGGTGTACGTTCTTTAAAAAACAGCATGAATAGGTTGATTAAAAAAGATGAGGAATCATAGACAAAAATCACAACAACACAAACAACACTGAACAAAATGCTTATGAATGAATGCTATCAAGAGGCATTTCGAAGACTCATTAAATTGGGCTGTGATAGCACAATCAATCTCATTCTTTTGGAAGAAGTTCTTCACAAAGAATTCCTGAGGATTTTTACATCTGATAGCTCTAGGAAGAACAGCTTGCATGAACATTCAAAATCATTAGGAGTAGCAGCATAATTTATAAAACCTCACTGGGATGATAATTCAAGTCTGGAAATTATTATTAATCTTCTCAGTACTCTTGACTGTTCATACAATGCATCTTTCTACATGGCACATATTAGTCAAGAGTGGAAGAGACAGCTTTAACATATTTATAAATAATGAGCCTTTTCACTGCATACTTTTCATTTTGGGTACTAGTAGCAAATAAATACTCTTTGTAACTATTTGTGCATGTGTGGGAAGTGTTTTTCGCAACTGGCAACAGTTTTTCATACTTTAAATGAGCATCTGTGATAATCTTAAAAATTATTCTAGTTTAAAGATGTTGTTACTATTTGACTGAAATAAATGGTTGCTTTTCATCTTGCTTTGGAGGTGATTTATGCAATGTATAAAATGACAGATGGAGAGGCTGAGTGTATTTTCAGAGATAATAAAGCTGAACATAACTGTGTTTGCCTATTAGAGTGTAAACAAAATGCCACTGACTGCAGCCACAGTCCCCATCTTACCAGTGGGCAGGTTTCCTTAGCTCCATCTTTGGATTTGTTTTTGGCAAGTCGCTTTTTCTTTTTATGGAGAGGCTTGGACTCCAAAATCATTTCTTCAAGTTCAAATGTGGGATCACAGTTCAGTCTTCCTTTCTGATACAAAAGGATTCAAAGTTAATCTTTGAAGCATTGTTGTGTTTTTTTAATTTGCTTGGCAAGTGTTAACAGCAGTAATAACGAACAGCTCCTCAATTACATCTGTAAAATGAAAACTGTCTTTTTAGGCCTGAAGTGATGCTCAAAGTTTAAATAAGGGAGATAAGATAAAAATCATATTATAAAGCAATTATAAAGAGTTAGATTCTCTTCCTGGTTATAAACAGATATATTCCAACAGTGACAAAAGTTATGCTACCCTGTGAGAGATTAATCTGGCCCAGGGTCTTCATCAGAATATCAGTTAGTGCTGTAGAGTAGTAGTGACACCAGAAATAGTGCAGAAGAGCTGGGGAGTACCTCTAAGACCTTGCTGAAATCTGATTTGCTGAAGTGTTGCAGTGGATTCATTTATTTAGATGTTGTCCATGAGAACAAAGGAAGGAGCAGGCCTGCTTAAGTTAGCAGCATTCATATAGAAAAGGGCTCACACTTTTATAGAATCCCAGGTTGGAAAGGATCTCAAGGATCATCTGGTCCAACTTTTCTGGGCAAAACCACAGTCTCCAGTCTGGACAAGATAGCCCAGCAACCTGTCCAGCTGAATCTTCAAAGTGTTTTAGAGACTCCACTGTTTTTGTGGACAGATTCTTGAAATGGCTGATTGTTGTTATGAAAAATTTTGTGCTTGTGTCCAACTGGAATCTTCCCAGGAGTTACTTGTACCCAATACCCCTTGTCTTTTCCATGTGACTCCCTGTAAAATGGAGTCTCCATCTTGGTAGCTAACCTTTAGGTAGTGGGACATGGTGATAAGGTCTCCCTTAATCCTTCTTTTCTCAAGGCTCTACAAGCCCTGTTCTCTCAGACTTTCCTCTTATGGCCTATTTCTCACTCCTCTGATCACCTCTGTGGCCCTTCTCTGGACCCTCTCCAGCCTGTCCACAGCTTTTTTGTGTAGTGGGGACCAAAACTGAACACAGTATTTCAGGTGTGGCCTGGCAAGTGATGAATAGAGTGGGGCAATGACTTCTTTGTCTCTGTTGGTGATGCACTTGTTGATGCAAGTCAACCTCCCCTTGGCTTTCTTTGCCATGGCAGCACCCTGGTCTCCCACACTGAGCTTGCTGTCCACCTGGACCTCCAGAGCTGCTGGAGCTGTTCCTCAGCTGGACAGATCCCACCCTGGACTATATTTTCCCAGGCTGATGACCTTACACTTGCTGAACTTCATAAGGTTCTTGTTAGCCCACTCCTACAAAGGTCTTCCTGCAGGGTAGTTCTCCAAAGTGTCCACTTTCCCACTCAGTTTGGTATCATCAGTGGACTTCCTCAGGGTACACTTGATCCCATGCTCCACATCATTTGTTAGGGTTTTAAGCAGTGTTGGACCCAATATTGATCCCTGGGGGACCCCACTTGTGACAGGCTCCCTGTTTGAGGAGGAGATTTTTCCACCACCCCCGGGTGCAGCCCATCACCAGTTCCCACCCATTACATGGATCACTTTTCTATACCATAACACATACATTTCTCACAAAGGACACAGTGGGAAACTGTTTCAAAAGCCTTAGAGAAATCCAGGTAAACAATGAGAACCACTTGCCCCATATCAACTGAGCAGGTTACCTTGTCATGATAAAGTTTGGAAAATCCCATTTGTCCTTGGTGAATCACTGCTGGCTTTTCCCAATCAGGTGCTTCATTCTAATCTATTATTCTTTTTCTATTCTATCCACTTTATTGAGGTTTTCCTTATCCATTACACATATTACTGAAATATTTTGGATTCTTTATTAAAAAAATGCCATGCTAATTTCTGATGCTTGACTCAAATTTTAAGATTCTTTGTTATACCAGAAAGTCCTTCAGAGAAAATTTGCAAACAACTTGAATTGTGTAGTGGAAGATGTTAAAAGCAACCTATTTTCCTCTGGGACTTCTGAGATTTCAATCACACCATTGTCACTGTCAAGGTGGAAGTACTAAAATAAGTCATATATAAATGACAGATATTTATAGTAAGCAAAGACACTAAGCAGCAAAATCACATAAGAAACTACTTGTATAATTTGTGGTGTCCTACAATGAAACATTTGGTTTAGAGATCACTCCATCATTTTTATTCCTAGCAAACTCTCTATAGTCAGAGCATATTATTTAGATATCTGATGCCTTTTCCTGCATATTATCCAGCCAGCTTTAGTAGAACATATTTGGTTTTTATCCATAGTATTTAGATTTGATTGAGTACTTAAAAAATATATCACTTTAATTCCAAAGCTTTACAAATAAAAGCAAATTGTATTTTAAGAAACCCTACAACAATTTATGACTCCAAGCTGAAAATGAAGAAACTAACTAAGCCGTAAAGAAACACATGTGCTAGTTAAGTAAGAACTATGTTTATGGAATCAAATTAAGCTGTTAGAAATTAAGCTATGGGACATTGCTCCCATGGGCCTCCTGTGTGCCCTCCCAGCTGTAGAAGGCAGACAAGCTCCTGACAGTCAAAGCAAGCTGTCAAAATTTATAAAACTCTCTGGCTTCAAAACAGAGGTCACAGGGGCCCCAGTTCACCTTCTTACCAAAGGCTGGAAAACAAGAAATATTATGTTGTATGGCCTCAATTAATCAGTGAAAGTTTTGCTGGTCTACAAAGAGAAAGTTCTTGGAAAATGTGTGACCAAACTTGGTCTCATGAAACAGCAAAGCTTCTATAAAAAGAAATGTTGGGCTAGAAAAGACACTTTGGTTCTCACCTCACTGCTTTTCCTGACACACTTGATCAACCAGGTGGAACAAGCCCTGCAATATCAGATTCTTCATGGAAGAGTCTGGTAAAGCTTGTTATGGGACTTTCAGATTAATCTGGATAGGTAAATGAAACATTTTACTCCTATTTCCTTTTAAATGAAGAATATTATTTTGCTTCACATATTGTAGATTTCTCCTTCAGTTTTATAGATGCTGCCAAAAGACAAATGAAGTGAATCCAAATGTGAAAAGAAAAGCTGTCTTTGCAGAGTCTGAAACTCTTGGAACTCCACCTATGTTGTATCTTTGGGTATGGGGAACTGGATCTCCCTTGTAAAATACTATGTTGTGAAGTTTTCCACATCCTGACTGTTGTGGATTAAACCTTTAGCTGGGAGTAGGAAGTAAATAATTGGTTGAGTTTTGCCTGCAAAGCAAGTCCACACCTCTGATATCTCAAAGAGCAGCTCTAACTTGAAAAAAGTAAAAAAGGAAAGTCAGTCTCCCCTCATCTTGTAGATCCACACACCAGGAGAATGGAGGCCAAGAAGGGGCTTTGTTCTGCATTGCTTTGCTTAGGACAGTGACCTGAGAGGGTGCAGAGGATCCTGGCCTGGCACAGCAATTATTCCAGCTGCATGGGCATCAAGTAAGAGTGAAAGAGTCGTGGCCTGGTAGATATGACATCCACCTCTCCAGCTTCTCTCTTGCGCTAGGATTGAGCTACAAAGTGAAAGGAAGGAATTTCCCCACAGATGGACATTGCCCTGGAGTGCCTGTAAGAGGGGCCTGCCTTTCCCTTCTCCTGTGTGCTTGTTACCTGCTGTGTTCCTGGTCTTTCTCCCTGTTCCCTGAGGGACAGCCTGCTTGCCCACCCACAGCTGTCTTCTCCTGCAGGGTGTTGCCTCCAGAAAGGCTCTGGCCAGGTGCCAAGGAGCCCAGCAATCACAGAGAGCAGTGTCTTGGCAACACACCTGGCTACCATTAGGCAATGCTCTCTCACCTTCAGCTTCTGAAGGGCTGGATCCTGTCCCCATCATGTTTATCATGAACCTGGATGTGCACCTGGATGAAGACAGGGTCCACCCATTCCACCTTCCTCATCTTTACTTACATGATATAAAAATATATGTATAATATAAAAACCCAGAAACAAACCTTGGTGTGCTTCAAATATGTTGTTTCTACAACAATTACAGCGCAACATGGCTGAAAAAAGTGAAGCAGCATATTAACACTACAGTCATTGCTTTTTATTCATGGCCCTCAAATACATTTAACCTGAAAATAAGCAAAAAGGAAATATCCAGAAAATACCAACAAAATGGGACCACGGTAAAAAAGAAACCACCAGATTCCCTCACAGAATCTGAATGTTTGATTGTAAGAAACTGTCACAAAGAAAATAGGTCAGCCTTTTGAAACACTATTATTTTTTAAGTGAAAAAGTAACAACATTCTGGTGTTAAAAAGTTTTCCAAATATTATTCAAATGTCTAACTTTCACAGCCACAACAGTCTTCTTGGTATTCTTTGTCTCAGAGTTAACTCTGACAATCATTTGCTCTAACAGCTGAAATGCAAAGTCTGGAAAAGGTTTTCTTTTATTTGAAAAGGAACAAAAAGTGAGCCAAGGTTAATTAGTTTATGTTGTGATCTATTGAAATGGGACAAATTTTCCCTTAGCTGTGACTGAGTAAATGAAAGCAGAAACCAAAGTAAATCACTGAAGAGCAATAAATACAAACATAAACAAGTAAAACAGCAGTGATAATTAAAGCCAGAATTTACAAACACTGTTCACCTGGAATATCAACTTACGTTAGGAACAAAGCCTGGGGTCACAGCTTTCTCTAGAACAGCATCCCAGTTGACATCAGCCAGGTATGGAGAGTTCTGGATGTCTGCAAGGCTTGAAAGGCGACACTCTGGGTCCTTAATGAGGAGCTGTGATCAAGCACAAGGCATTTTCTAAGGAACTGCATGCCATATAGAACAGTAAATGTATCACACATGTGAATTTTATGATACATATTTTTAAGTAAGAAAATGGCTAGGGAATCTTCTAACAGATGCTAGAAGCCCCAATTTTGAAAAAAAATTAAAAGTAATAAGTCACAGGATATGAGTACAGTTTAATTGCCACCAGATGGCTGTTGCAGGCATGAAGTGTATAAATGTATTAGCAACACAAGTCTGCTTACAAATACACAAGAGCCCTCACAAAATGAAACATCACAGATCAATGCCACCCAACAATTTGTATTTTCTCTTTAATTTTTTGGAAAATACAGTTACATTGAGAATCCTGGAAGCAATTAAAATTATCCCCCTCACTGCTCTATCTATTCAAGACTACATTGCTAATTGCTACTAAAGACATGTGTTTTATTACTCCATTCAGACATTCACAAATATTTCTTGTTCAAGTATCAATATTGATGATCTGAAATACCTAAAAGAGAGAGATTATCTTTGTGGTGTAGACAGACAATTAAAGCAAACAAAAAACTTGGATTTTAGGAAGAAAACAATTTTTAGGGTTGGATGCATTCAGAAAGAGCCCTGCCTCATGGTCTAGTGATGTTTACAGCAAACTGGCTCAACTTTTGTTATTGCAACTATAGCAACATGGGACAGGAAGAAATACAGCCATTCTAATTTCTAATCTCCCTGTCTGGAAACTGCAGCAGAAATTCAGAGGGCAGAGTGGTCCTTCCTTTCCTGTCCCACTTGCATATCCATAGCTGGGGGGAAATGAGGCCAGAGCACAAACGAGGAATTACTGATCCCCAAACTTTTACTATCTCTAGTGAATCAGCTTAAAAATAAAAGAAATTTAAAATTTTCACTTTTTTGAAGCCACGAAAAGCCTGAGTCTAAGCCTAAGAACACTGCACCTTCTGAAGAGAAAATACCACACCACTCACATTCAGAATAGCCTAGAAATAAGCTCTGCTCTCTTATCCTTGAGATGTTGACTACCTAATGTGTGTGTTTGTCTGATGCCTTTTCCAGTGCTGGAGAGGCTTCTGGAAGAGAACAGAGGACAGAAGGTATTTGTGCTTTCTTACCTTTTTCAGTAGTGCTATCATGCCCTTGCACCATGCGGATGAGTAGTGAACCCTTTCGATCTTGAACATGTTGAGTATCTCATCAATGGGGGTGGCTGAATGGATTTCATAGGGCCTCTGGGATAAAATTAAATCAACATCAAGTCAGAAAGAATGGATAAAAGAGTGCAGACTAATCACATTTTCCTGAGCTCAGTATTGAGTGTCTTGAAAATATCAAAACCACAAAAATGTTGTATAACAATTTTAAGTCTAATTCTTTGTGTGTGTGATTTCCTTTGGTTGCAATGAATGTAATTACTCATAGATGCATTTCCTCTGCAAATTTTTCTCTCATGAAAGGAAGTATTAGTTCAAATGAGATGAATAAATAATTTTGTTCCTGGGGCATTACATGTGAAATGTGGATTGTTTACTACTTTTTGCATGTAATACTAGTGATCAATTCTTGCAACCTAAACCAACAAAATCATAAAGAGGTGGCTGAAAGGAGCTTTGTCATCCTAATTTTACTGAGTATAATAGATAAAGAAACTAAAAAATGCTTACAAAAGACTGTGTCAGAATCACAGTAAAAAAGAGGACTCCAAATCCCAACTTTTCTCCATTTTTTTTAAAATCCAAAATTAACACACTACATGGATCTGCTGTCATTGTTTTCAGTGCCTAAATTCTTCTATAGATGAAGAAAGCTCTGGTCTTTGCAGTGCTTTGTTCATTAAGTTTTTTCTGATTTATCTTTTATTACATGCAGAATTTGGAAATAAAATATTACATATAAATTTATATTCTTGTTATTTTCTGAGCACACACTTGTGTATTTGAAACAAGTTGTTATAATTATACTTAATGTATTTTTGTAAACAAGTGCAGAGAGTGGATTGCTAGTGAATTAAGATGTATCCAGCATGTGATAAATATGTGATATGAGATCTGCAGCTAAATGCCATCCTAGCAGCAGTGTGCAAATTAATGCATCATAATTCATAATCAACATAGAGTTACCTATTAATCCAATATCCTGAACAGCAAAGGGCAGACGCTCATTACCTTGACTAAGAAATGAATCATCCCTTTGCTAGTATGTACTGGTAGAAGATTATAATTTAAGAATATTTCTAGGTGTAAGTTACCTAATCTGTTAAGGAATTGGGGTCACTCTTCATAAATACCCGGGACATGTTTTTATTCTGGGACAATTCATGCATACATTTAACTTTCATATGTATGAAACCAAGTGCATTCCAAGGCACTGGGGTGCTCCAAAAAGAAATTAATGGAGGGTCTAAATCTTTTTGCTTTGATTCACACTCAGCCCATTATCATTTAGCTATACCATGTCCATATGAATTCCACAGTACTTAAGTGTCTGCTTTAAATGCATAATTTTCCTGAACTGGATTCAAAATTGTCATTAGAAATAGTCTGTTATATGCTTTCCTCTACATGTGGTAATGTTGCCATAAAACAGTTATTAAAAATGAAACTTTTATGTGCTTTCTTTCACCTAGAAGCAATGTACTGCTGACTTAACTTGATATAACAATGATCAATGGGATCATTGAGACAGAATGTACATCAATTGTTGAAAATGGCAATTTTCACTCCAAAATTAGCAACTATAAGGAATTATGAATCATCAAAAGTTTTCCTGTTAAGAATGTTTCTGCCCATGCCTTTTTCCTGACAGAAAAATCCCTAAAATTTGCCTTATTTTCAAGATTATTGGCATTCTAAAATCTTGATTTTTTTTGAGATTTGCAGAGATTTTAAATATTTTTATTAGTTAATTCGAACTATAAATGGCCGTTATAAGTTTGGTCTTTTGAGGCCCTTCATACCTCTGTCTCCCCTGTTTTTCAGCTATTCAATCCACTCAAAGATCCCTTCAGTTATATTTTGTGGAAAAAGGAAAAAAATCTGGTTTGCTTTTGTTCAGGATTTTGTATCAAAGTTTGTTATTAATTGATCACATTGCAGTGGAAGTCAGAATCTGGGAATCCCACCTACTACTCACTCCCTCACTTTGTTTCTACTGAATTCATGGTATATGCATTTATTGCAGCATTTTAGCAGTTGTCTATAGCTCAGGAACAGACTGACAAGTGGCATGGTTTGCATCATACAGTTTAATTACAGTTTAATTTCATGGACTTTGTGAAAAGACCAATGTTTGATGCAAAGCTGTATTAACTTATTTTTTTCTTGCTAGCTTTTTTACCAGCAGCTGGATAAGGAGAAAAACGTACCTATAACTTATTGAGAAATGTCAGCTGTACTATGGGTAACCAAAAATGGTGCAGAAAGCTCTGTACTGGACACAACATGCTCCTTTATCTACAGGTCCATTTCAAGCAGAACATGGTTTTGGCTGCCCAGCAGTGGGAAGCCAGAAATGAGAATGGCTGGAATGCCTTGATCACCCTGAGCAGCAGATGCAAATAAAACCAAATATTCATCTCAATGAAAAACAACTAATTTTTACTCATTTTTCTTTTACTTATCACCTCTTGAATTCAGGCTGTCAGCATCATATGCTATGCACAGCTCTGAGGTAGAAAATGAAATTTGTGATGTTTCTTATTTCTAATGCTCCTTCCTTCCTTGGCTCCTGCCTTTCCCCAGGCTCCATCTGCAGAAAGCCCCATGTCCTGTGCCTCTGCCCCGTGCCACAGCCTCCTCCTTGCCCAGGGCTGCTGCTGCTGGCTCGGGTGGGCAGCTCCGAGAGCCTGCCCATGCTCAGGGGGCAGTGGGGCTGTTTCCTCTGGCTGTTTCCTCTGCTGAACAGAGCTGTGGGAGCCTGGAGGAGCAGGCACTGCATGCCTGCAGGTTTAGCTCTCAGCCTTGTGTGCAAACCGTGCCTCCAGAGCCATCTGCTGCTGTGGCAGATGGGGCTTCGCAGCTCGCAGTTGTTGACGGCAGCGTGCCTCGGGTTAAGCACATCTCCTCAACCCACTGCTGCTTCTCTTGTCATCACTAGTGCCAGTTTAGGCCTTGTTTAGACTACAAAAATTTGGAAAATGCACACCTTTTCCTTGTCCACACAGTGGTGTGAGCTGCCAAGCCATCCTCTGGCTGGCTCGGTAGCCAAGAGCTGCTCGTCAGGAGAAAACAAGCAGCTGGCTTGGGTGACTTGAGCAAGTTCAGATGGCAATGTTTTTATTTTATAAAAAACCTAACAAGAAATTGATTCAATCTCAACTGTGCTTTGTTTGTAGCCAGACTGACTTATTCAGGAAAGACTGTATGGATCTTGGCAAATGGATATCATCCTATATAATTTTTCATTTTTAAAATGAATTGTCACATCAAAGTGATCTTTTGTGATTAGTCTAGGGAGTTCAGCTTTCATTAACAATCATTCATTGCTCTCCTTTCTTGGAGACAGTCACTGGTGAAAGGGTTGATATAAAACTATCAGAATGATCTCTTAATTTACTGTAAGTGCAGCTAGAACTACTGTCTGTGACTAGGACTGAGGATGTATTATGCTTATCATTGCCAGACTTTAACTTCTCCATTCCAGGAATAATGTCAGTCCAAAAACTCCCTAAAGTTTAAGAATTATGGTAGAGAAAAATTGATAATAATTGTTAGTTTGTTGCTTTTGCTAAGAAAGGTGTTTAATACTCCTCTACTTTGAGAGAAGAAACAATCTTTGCATGGGAAAGATCTTTGTCTCAGGAGCATGACTTTTGTTTTTCCTACAGAAATATAAAATAGATTGGCCAAATTTTAGGCCTTTGAAAAAATTAGCTTCTGAAGTAACAGTATGCAGACACTCTGAAATTAAATTTTCCATTAAAAGTAAGAATAATTATTTCTTATTTCTATTTTCCTTTATCTGTTCTTCTACATGAAATTGTGAGATCTTTGTGGGATGCATTGTCTGGCAAGACAAGGTAGCCAAACTGTATTAGTGTAATAATATAAAAAAACATACTGCAATGCAATCCACTTTCCAAAACAGGCATGAAAAATAATTTTAAAAACCCCAAACAGCTGCTTTAGCTACGTCATCATCCTGAAATAGCATCTAAATTACTGTTTTCTGTGGGGAATAGTAAATATTGAAGCAACTGACTGAAATCCTTTGAAACAAAATGGAAAAGAGTTTTCCATTATCTTCTGTGATATTAGACCATGCTCAGGAAGATTTTTCATTAAGCTTATTCACATAATTGATTAGATAAGAAACAAATGCACTGGCACTAAGCATTTTCTGTAGTTGGGCCAAGCATCTTAGGAAATTAGATTAGATCTCTTATGGTATTAGCCAAGAGAATCAAAGAGAAAATAGAGTGTGAAGTAACTCAACTTCTATTTGAAAAAAAATACCATTGCTTGCATTCAGCATTATAAAGAAGCTGTTAAACATTAGGCCTTTCCTTAGCCAAACTGAGGCAAGTTTCCATAATGTATTTGAATATGGGGTGAAACTTTGCCAAGAGTGTTTTCAGCTGGGAAAGAACCAGGACAACATTCCTGACCTGGGCCTTGAACACTCAAATTTTATCCTGCAGAGTGCACTCAAGGCCACTGCAAACTTGAGATTTTTGTAAGATAACAACAAACTCCATCATTCTTACCCAGCCCCTCAGTAATTCATATGCTGTAATTCCTAGCGACCACCAGTCTACCGGGTACGAGTATCCTGGACCTCCATCCATAAAAGCCTGGAACACTTCTGGAGCTAAAACAGTAAATCAAATAGAACAAAAAAGCATTTCATGAAGGTTAGACTATGGGTATTATTTCACAGCTGAAAAATGATTAAGGAGTCAACAAACTGGAATTAAATAGATTTAGAAGCACAGCATTTTCAGGGTGAAGTTTCAGTGCCTTGTTTTACTCATAACAAGCAACCTTTGCCAGACAGGGTATTTCAAATTCAGTAATTTCATATGTTAATTCTTACTTGGTTCATTTAAGTTTTAAGTTATGTGAATAAAAATAAGTAATAGGAGGGGAATTCTAGGTCTGAAGTGTGACTTAGTACATTTAGGGTAATGTAAACATTTTACAGGAGAAATATCTGCAAGTGAGGTGATTCTTCGTGATTGATGAAGACGTTGAATATGGTAAATCTCATCCTTATTCTACATTTGGATAGAACTAATCAGACAGGTTTTAGCGGCGTTCAACACAGGAAACTGGTACTTAGAAATCCTGACACTGATTTTATGATGTGAGAAACTGTCACAACTGGAAGAAAACACTCTGTCAATGAAGTAATGACTTCCATAAACTCCTGTGGATGAAAAGAAAAGATATTTTCAAAACAAAATATATTTTCAACACTTTGTCTTAATTTTATGAAAAAAAACTGTACTAAATAATGTTACTGTAATTTCTTCAGAAAACCAGATATAAATAAGAGTGGATATGAAATGAAATGAAATGAAATGAAATGAAATGAAGTGAAATGAAAACTTGGTCATGCTTTTCTAATGATTTAACAGCAGAATCTCAGTACACTTTGTTAAAACAACATTTTCACTGGAGATTTTATAAATAGCACTGTCCCCAGCTGTAACATCATGCTAGATTACAATTACCATGTGAGCCTCTTCTGGTCATGATAGTGAGGCCAATTTACCACATTAGCACTTATTACCATGGCCTCACTTTGTGGTGTGCACACTGCAGTGAATGATGCAGTCTGGTCACACTTCTGACTGGCAGCTTGGGATTTGACTATTTATGGCATTTAGAGAAGTATTTTAATAAATGGAAAGGCATTCCTCTTAGAGCAGTTTTTGCAGTCCTTGCATTATGGATGGCAACCTAATAATTTACAGCTCCAGACCTGACTTGAGAAAGTCTTCAAGAGCCAAATAGAATAGAAGATTTCAGCATCCATTCATTAGTTATGGCAAAACTCTGATCTGGGGGATAAAAACAGTGAATGTATGAAAGTGATCTTATACTCTTTGACCAGCAGGATCATGTCTAAACGTGTTTGGTATGAGATCTGTAGGCACCTAAATTAACATTTTTTCTGGAATACACGTGTTTGGAGAATAGGTGACCATGGATCTCTGGCAGAGGAAAACTTGTGCTGTGATTCAGTATGACATAAAACAACAATGCCACGAGTCATTACACTGGGTTAACTCTTCCTCACATCCAGATGACATAGCTTCCCCTGGCATGCTATATCTTCATGTGTATTTTAACTCTTATTTGTGTGCTGCTGGTGTGCAGGCACATCCTACAGGTGTGCAGTGTATCACACAGGTGGTGAGAGCATAAGAAGGATTCTTTGTATTACTTTTGTGGATCAATGCACTTAAATTGCACATCAGGCACCAAACCTACATTTTGAATATCACCACAGAAACCTTGTAGTGAAGGTTTGCTTGACTTAGCCCCATTTGTTATGGTTTTTGCCCACTTTGCCTAAATGATGTACAATATCTCATTACAGAAAATAGCCTTTTGGCATTTTTACTGAACTACACAGGTGTAATGCTGGTTTCACTATCTCTTTTATAGCTTTAACATTTTATTAATGAGACAGATCACTATCTGATTTCTGTGAGATAGAGGTGAAAGTACTTTATTGATGTAACCTATGGCATTGCCAGGCTGGTGCAGCTGTTTTGCTAATTTAGTGACTGAGCTATTGACTTATATTTTATTTTATTGTTCTAAAATTCTCAAGGTCAACTCATCCTACATTAAGCAGATCAGCAGAAAGTGCTTTATTTTGCCCTGGAGTTTTAAAGCTGTTTTCTCACCTTAAGCTGATGGCATTCTGAGGACAGAATCTGAGCAGTTAAGGTCCTGATTTTTAAAGCCCCTTTTTGCCCACTTTAACAGCATTATTTTCAGTCCAGCTGGAATGTCTCTCTGCATTCCATCAGCTCCAGTGAAGTGATTGTAAACACTCTTCCCATGGTGGGGGGACTGGCAGAGGGTGCAATATGATTTGCAGTATCCTATATTCAGGTTTTTTCTCAGGGTGAAATCTCAACCGTGTTGAAGCCAAAAGACCTTTCTCTAGTTGGACAGGGCTGTTGAATACCCATTTCACACTTAGCTTGTGCTTAATGTGTCTAAAAGTCTCCTTTAACTGAGACACTAGGTGCAAACAGAGGGCTCCAGGCTGTGTGCAGACTTTTGGCGTTTGCCTGCTCATTCAGAAACAGAGCATGATCTTACAGAAAGACAGCAGACCCTCCAAGTCATGGAATTTACCAAGCTCTGAAGAACTAGAGCTATGAAATATAGGACATAATATTGGATTTTTCTGTAAGAAATAACCATGCCTGGGGAACCAATTCAGAGTGCAAACTGGTTAGGATAAAAGCAAATAAAAACTCTATAAGGAAAGATTACATTCTGCATTGATTTTCTTTAACACCATTACTTAAATATCTGTAATCTTTTAAAATTTGAACTTGATCCCAGGATCTGCTTGGACAGCCATCCTGCAGCCTGCTCTGGGTAGGTTCTTCCAAAGGATGATCAGATTTGAGTTTGCCAGCTTGGAGCAAAGGCAAGAGCTCTGCTGTGTGTGCCTGTTGTGAACATATCCTCTCTTGCCATAACAGATTTAGGATGAGAAGAATACTTCATCTTTTACCCCCATGCATCTACACAGGCAGAAGTATTCTGCCTTCAAGAGTTTGTGTGAACAAGAGTAAGAATACCTGCAAGAAAAAAAGTTTCATATCTTTTTCCTTTAGAAGTTTCCACTAAACAAAGGCTTTTCAGGAAAATAAATGGGTTTAATATTAGGTGTGATCCTGCAGTTGGTTTTGGCCAAGAGCTGTAGTTGCAATCACACACACTTAGGGGAAAGGCAGCTGACGTTTGCATGGCAGGAGCTCAACTGTTAAACAGTGAGGATAAATCAAGTAATAGCAAGTCTAGCAGCAAGAGTGAATTCAAAGAAAAGTAGAGAAGTGTTGCAGTTGGTGGATCCCACAGGTCCTCACAGTTTCCCCTGACTCAATTTCTTTGATGTGGTGGGGAACTGCATATTCCTAGAGCTTCCTGAAGAATACCCAACAGCAGGAGCCTGGTCCAGCCTCACTGCCCACCCTGCTTTGAGCAGAGCTGGAGCAGAGGCCCCTGGGGGCCCTGCTATCACCACTCACCTCACAGTCCTGTGACCCTAATGGAGATCAGACAGCTCCTCATAGCACATCTGAGTGGGGTAACAGAGGCCAGAAAGCCTCAGTGGGATCTGTGCAGCTTCTTCCTCTGGGCAGCCATCATGAGCTGCATTGGCTCCTCACCTCTGCCCAGATGCTCAGACACCTGGAAAACCTGTCACACAAAGAACTGGGACTTTCAAGTCTGGAACTCAGAAGCAACATGTTTTTTTTTTGTTTGGGTTATTGCTTTTCATGTTTTGCAAAGTGTGATCTGACACCCTTCATGCAACTTTTTGAAAATGACAAAGAAACACCCTTTAAATATCAATGCCATTCCAAGATGGGATATCTGTACTAATTTTAACAGAGGAAATAAACTCATGTCTCTTTGTCTCTTTGTCTTATATAGTAATGAGTAATTGCACATACTAACTTTGGCAACTAGCCAAGCTAAAAGTCCTTCTATTGTTTCTTTGCTGCATCTATATTTTTCTATTATTAATACACTTTCATTATTTCATTGTTTACCTGCTTTGCTTTCTTGAAAAGTTATATAAATAATCCACATTTGTAATGTATTGCGTGCTTCAGTGCATTTCTTGGTTGTCCCCAATAAAAATTTCCAGTCAATACTTTTTTCCAACTAATAAATTAAAATAAATCCTCTTCAGACATGTATCTTTTGATGCTTTTGCACTGTATCTTTTTAATAATGCCATACTGCTGCAGAGTGTAGAAAGTAAATAAATGGCTATTTCTCTCTAAAATGAAATCATACTAGAGGACAACCTATGAACAAATTGAATGTGAAAGCAAATCTGGTGGGTCTGCATCCATCTCAGAAGTAATGGCATACTGGGGTATCCTCACTCCTGTCCTGTAGGCTTGTGCAAAAGGGAGTAATTTCTGACAAATCCATTCATGTATATAACTACCCACTGGAATTTTCATACCAGTCATATGATCTGCAATGTGAGTTATGCAGATGATGCATCTCATATTGCATACATATTTTCCTAGAGATCTGCAACAAAAATAAAGTTATAAAAAAAGAAATTTTATATTGCTGGTTGGTAATTATCTACCTTTATTTGTGGAAAGATATTAGTATCTAACAATGTGATTCATGAGCTTGAAATAAAAGAGAATATCAATGTAAATGCAAATAATGCTAAACAAAATTTTCACTCTTTATTCCTATTGTAAAAGTCCATTTTGTACAAAGAATAAAGTGTTTTAAGTAGGGTTTCTGAAAATCTGCAGAGTATTCATTGGTATCACAACTTCATAAATTGTAAGTGGTCTGGGTCTCTGAAATTCAGACTATTTTTAATTTGGTGCTCAAAGGTGAGTTTGAAAATGCTGTCCATGATAGAAAGATCAATTTGAGGTCTGTCTCTTGGTTGGCAAAAAGAAAAGCTGCCGTTATTTCTGATGGAGCATCTACAAACTAACAAATCAGTCTCTTTAAGCCATAACATGCAAGTCAGTCTTGCAGGAGGGATTACTGTAAGGAGCTGTAATTTAGCTGAAAAGTGAAATATTGCCAATGACTTCTGGTCATCAGTTCCTGCACAATGCCCTG